ATAAGGTGTCGAGAATACTATATACTCAACAACGGATTTTTCTTATCCATATAAGTTGTGCGAATATCAAAAATTTCACTTCATAACTTCGAATTACAGTCACCAATAATTATGTTATAGATAGATTTTCTTAAGTTCTAGTAGCAAACTATGTTTCATTGAACTAACTAAGTCCAAAGTGGTACAATTACCAGTTACATAAGATATCGATAATACTACATCATAAACTGATATATTTCATGCTATTAAATTAATTAACATAGGTGATAATTGAGTTGTAGAATTTTCTTAGTTCTGTGTTTATCATATTCCTGGAAAAAGTATGATTGATTTAATGAATGAAAAAGCTTCATCCCGTTCAAACAGCATCATAAGAGTACTTACTATCCTCTGAAGTTGACATCATTTATACGACTGTAAATATGCTTGAATTCATCGCCGTTTCCTGTTGAACTCTATTTCAAACGCATAGAAATAAATTAAATTTCCGGACATTTGTGCTCATTTCTGTTCAATATCTCATCAATAAAGTGATTACAAGCGTTTATATTAATTACTTACGGTTTGAATTATTTTTTCTGGTTAGTGCTATTTTAGCGAGTTAGTTTTCTAGGGGATGAGATCGATAACCCCATGCCCAACCCTCCTCCTTTATCCGGGCTTGGGACCAGCGGTAGCCCCAGTGGGGCTCCAGTCGGAGTTAGTTATATCAGTCCGTAGAGTAAAAATAAGTAACAGACACATTTAAGCTAATTATTTACGTATATCCATCAATTTGTTGTTAAATCTATATAGTACAAATTAATCCGTCATATTTTTTCGAGGACATATATGATTAAATTATATACTAATTATATATATATATTATATATACTAATTTAACATTCATCCTCATGTAATTTAAATGGTTTCAGATAAAGCTTCACATAATTAGCTGTAAGACAACCACCTTTGTTCTCCCGTGATTACCACTATATACTCTCGGTTCACTTCTGTCAAATTTCTGGATGGAATTTGGAGACAAACTCGATATCAAGGGAGGTTTCTCTGAAAACTGATGATATCTTAACATAAAGTCCGACGGCGCTGTAAACCTGTGTATCATAAAGCAAAAATAGCCGATATTTGCCTTCAAAAGGTATGCCGGATCATCTAGTTGGTTGATTTTACAAGGATAAAAAGATGGATCGAGTGTTCCAACCTCATACAACTGATTATCTATTCCAAAAAATCACCGTTTGACAGTCAACCGAATTCTTCCAAGTTACTTCTGATTCCTCTAAACCATCAAAGCATTAGCTGTTTATGAGATGACTCCTGATTTTTTCGGACACAACCAGCCTATTCGATGTTTCTTTTTACTGTGAATAAAACTTGAAGAATTTGCTCTTCTTTTTTAGACTAACCTTTGGACTCCTATTTTACATCTCGAGATAGTGTTGTTTCGTGTCATCCTTTAGATAATTTGAACTTAAGATCAACTTTTACTCTAACAAACATATCTTACTCACATTATTTGTCGTGCCATTTTTTAAATTAAACTTTTGCTTGCTCTTCTTTTAAACAGATCTTGTATAACAATTAAAATATTAAGGACTTGTTTACCAATTACTAATAATACCACTTTTGCGTTTATTGTCATTTTGACTGATCAGTGAATTAAATAAATATGGTTATAAAAATAATATCAACATTAGAATGAACAGAATGAAATTAAATTCCTTAAACATATTTCATCAATACATTTCTAAGACGTTGAATTCATGATTAAACTTTAATTGGCCAGTAATTGGAAGCTAAGGAATACTGAAAAATTGTTTTGTAGCAGTACGAGTTTCATCAACACTACTAACTTTAGGGTTTTCAAGAGTCGTTCAGGTAAAGTTAGCCTGTAGTGTAAATAGTCTTCAGACTGAAACACTTCAGCAAACTTCTCATCTCAGACCTTTGATCAGGTGTTCTTTTTATAAATCTCAGAGTGCTTTCATAACAAATAAAACGATAAAACATGGGAGTTTGTCTAAATTTATGGTGTCTATAACTGACTTAAATTATGATTAACGAATTACTTTCAGGACATAATTAACTTATTTTAGACTGTCCGAAAATTTTTTGAAGTAGGGGTGTTTGATAAGTTATGATTTATTTTGCGTAATGTTTGTAGTTATTATGCAGTGCTCTGATATATTTCTCTAAAGTTAAAGAAATCCTAGGACTATCAGTTTTGTCTCATCAAACAGTTAAAAAGTGTTTGAAAAAATGTATTAGAAAGGTTACTCGTTTCAGTACAAAAACTTAGACGTTACCAGTCGTTGGTCAGAGTGTTGTAACGTGAAAATGATGCTGCGGATTAAGGGTAGGGAATTATTGATCGGACCAAAGACGCGCAAACACGTAGAACGACCTAGGGTTCTGATTGGCCTCGCTTCCCTATCTAACCCAGCCAGTTGAGTCCAGAACACAAGTCACAGCCTCGGAGATATGAATCATTGTATTTCAAATATACTTTGTTTATATACCAGTCAAGCAGACCACAACGTCCCATAAAATAGAAAATAACATTGTACAATAATGGCCAGTAGGAAAATGACACGTTAAACAAATATTCACCAATAAGATGATACCATTTCATGTCCAAGGATGACATTAGGCTTAACAGGATAATTCTTGGGATATTTTCCTGAATATCCCAACACAGAGGACAACCGTCATGACATTATATTTTACTATATATCTAAAATGTTTCAATTTTAATCATGCGCTGTTAAAATTTAAATGACTTGAACAGCATGGAAAGCTGCTTTCTAATACTTGCTTTGTTTGCCAGCTCTTAACTTTAGATGAGGTATCAAAACAGGAAAAATGTTTACATAAAATATGCCATAGGAAATTTGTCGCTTCCGTTAGAATAAAGAAACGCAAACCCTTACAAATACACATAAAGTAAAAACCAGGTCAATAGCTGGTCCAAACCTTTTGGTTTCTCAACGTCAGAATAAAAACTTATGGATGAAGACTCCGTCAAGTGTTCTCGATTACAAGGTAAGACAGGATAATAAAAAATTTAACCCGCTGAAAGAAGATCAAAATATTGGTTTATAACTCAGAAGTTCAATTTATTTTGCAATGACACAATTTTGGGACTGTTTCTAGAAAAAAACATAACGCTGACAACAATATCATTAGTGTCCTTTTGATGCAATGAAATTAATATTTTGCTCTTAATATTCAGAGACAAAGAGTACCGGTGACGAAAGATGAGATGTTTTCTAAACTCTGAACACAAGTTGAAGCTGGGTGACTCATTTCATGGTCCTTCACTCTGACTGAAGGATCTGCTCCACTACTTTTGTCTAAGCCCAATTCTCTGGTTTTGTTTTTTGAAAACAACTAATTACATTCACCTCGTAAAACGCCTGGTGTAGAGCTTTAAGAGATGGCCAGACTTTGTAGGACAACCTACTGTGTTCCTGTTAACTGGAAGTATAACGTGACAGTTAAGCTACCAACATCAGTTGATCATAATGGTCCTAGCTGTGAAGGGAATTTTATGATCTTCAAAACAACGCGGAAGTATTTTCATTTAAAGTCACGTACTAAGTGGGACTAATTTTATTCTCGTTCGGGAGAAAATTGTTGGTATTCAAATAAGCCTGTTAGTAGAGAGCTTCAAATGGGTGCTGAGTGATTGGGCTTTAGACAATGAATGGTCTCTATGCACCCAAAAACCGTCCAAATTGACATTACAAGTGAACTTAGCAATACTCTAATACCACCGTCAAAATTGAGTTTGCTGCTGCTTTCATTTCTTTCAGCACATGTTACTTTTCCTGGTTCAATTTATCTAACGTTCTCCATTTAATTTCGACTAGTTTTTAAGCTCACTAAATCAACTTAAAAACTTCCAGCGCTGCAGTAACCGCTGGTCCTGATAACTCTGAAATCTTACTATGGATCGAAAATTTTCACACAAACCTCGTGAAAATTAAATAAGAATTAATTATTCAGGTATAGTCCGTTTTCATATTCAAAAAAGTTTGCGTTGGCCTAAGTCCTCAAACCATATCAGTAAGATAAAATTATTATACTAAATAACGAAAATGAAATAACTGCATTAACAGTGATACTGAGGTATGCAAAATATTTAAAATGTGGTTCTAGAGGTATAACATAGTATGAGAATCAATAATGAACTAATGTACGTCAAGCCATTGTAGGGCCAGCGAAATGTCACTAAGCCCTAGCCAAATCATCCGGCAGTCGGGTCATTGAATATCGAGCAAATCATCGATCCTCGCCAAGGTCAGAAACAACCAACGCGCATCAGTTAATGATACGCCATGGACTGGCGCATGCGGCAGTGGTCTTACTTTCGCTTGTATCTACTTTAATTAATATATTTCTGTAATAATGTTCTCTGTGTTGTACAGTCTTCAAAGCATCTGTAGTACCTTGATACGTCAATGGGGTAGTCCACGTAAGGTGCCGACCACGAAGTGTGACTTCGACGTTACCTGGTTCGTCACACCATTCCCGTCTAATTCGAGTAGATCTCCAATCATTTTCGACATAGATCATCTACGTTGGTGATCTACACCATACATCGTCTCCAACCAATGGTAGTGGTTATTGCGCGAACACCAGTCAAGTAGTCTGGGGTTACAAACATGGATTAGATCAGTGGTTAGTGGCTTTATGAACGGATAGTAAATACTGGTCTAGGCACCCATGGCTTTTATAGACCGACCCGTACGTCGAGGTAAGGGTTGGTTGAGTATACATAACTCATGCTCCAACCACCTTAGTCGACGAATATATACAAAGAATCACATAAAGGAGGCCTTAACTCCCAACCAACAGCATTACAGTTTTCTCTTACGAAGCTGTGACGAGAAGAGAAATTGGTGAATGACATTTATTTAGTAACCATGACAAAAACTAGATTATGTTAACAATATATCAGAAATACAATAAGTAAACATCGTGAAAGTAAATAACCGTTAGTGGGTTTTGTCATATGTGTTCTGCCCTTTATAGCCTCCAACATAACCGGAAGCCGCTTTTTCATCCATGACATACTCTCGCCCCTCGATTCCTTTACCTTTACCAGTTTCAGTATCAAACCGTTCTTTATGAGAGCCTGTATATCCTTTTACATCAGTGAGACGTGATGTCGCCGAATCTTTACTAGCTTGAGTAGCTCCATGAGATTTTGGACCGGAAGTACTGATTATTTTGTTTTTTATTTCATTCGATGCGTCAGTTGTAGATATATTTTTTTGTTTTGCATACTCTTCTGCCATTGCTCCCTCGATAAATCTTACAAAATCAGAGAAATCAACGTCTTTTTTGGCACTTTTAAGATGTTTGCAAAAAGCAATATCGACGGCATTTGCATTAAATGATTTCGTATAGATATTACAATCGGTACAGATTTTTTTAATGGTTTTGTCTGTTGCAGTTCTTGACCCTTTCTTAACTGAATCACAAAAGTCGTAAAATATTTTTCCAGATCACCCATATTGTTTTAGAAGGAGAACGATCGGCTTTTTAAGAAGTAAAATCAACAGCCAAAATTTAATGTGTGCAGAAACTCTAACACCTTTTAAAATACCTCCAGATATAAAGCGACTGACAAAAATTGACTCTGCAAAACAAAACATCTCATCTAAAATGGATTGAAACCTAAACATCAAAATTGATATTGACAGAATGTTTGCTTCTGTAACGTAGTGAGACACTTGTGAGAATTAATTTTAAACAAATATGACTTTACATTGGCATGTGGCTAGTCCAGTACCACTTTACTGTTCAAGGTTGGTATCTCTTTAATGTTTATGTAAAAGTAAGATTTGTTAAGGTAAATGAACCATTGGTTGATGACGTTTGGGTCATTCTGAAGCTTTTCAGTGAATTACTGTCAGTAATTCGGTATCGTTGTTAGCAAAAACTTCGTTATGTCGCAATGACGAGTCGGGATTGTATATGTGGAGGTAAATAAATCACCAGAATAAATAGCTCTATGTGCCTTCAACACTGATGCTGATCTCATTAGTTTTACTGGACATGCCCTAGCTGAAGGCGTTCGGTCACGAGTTCACACTAGATCACGAGTGGGAATACAGTACTACGCATCCCTCGTAAATACTAGCCACCTTACATCAAACGCTTCTCATTATACCGATAATCTTCTTAACATATCCTTAAATCATTCATCCCCAACTTCTGATTTGATCGGTTCTATATCCCTTGATTAATAAGGTGTTACTAAACAAAGCACTTTCAAACCCCGAGTATCCGTAGCATCTTTAGTTGTGAGCCCGACATGATCTGGTACATTAAACGATAAACTGTGGGCCTATTATTTGTTACACTATGAGATATCGATTTTCCTTTTCACGTGTCGTAACACTATTTTTGCATTATAACAAGGGAACAGACACCCAAACTACCAGGGATGAGGACTCCTAAAACCTCCCTTCAACACATACCATTCTAGCCTGATAATATCGGAGCCTGCCTCTGCCACACAGAAGCTTACTTTCGCAAGGACGGCATGACAGACCCACGTGCGCAAGTCTTCGCAGTAGTAAAGGGGCTGCTGTGAGGTTTTAACAGATACATTACACTGGTAATTTCATGATTGACACCTTAAAAAAGGCTGTCCTTAAACTTGAATATCTAACCGACCGAAAAAGTTTAGACCAACTCTCCCGCAATATCCAATTACAGTATGGACCGGCACCAGAAATTTCGCTATGTATATGGATCGACGTACCTTTGACTAAAGCCTCTTTAGACTTCTTCAACGGGTGCAAGGGGCACTCACCCCATTCCAAAATAATAACAAAGCTGCTTCTGTAGATCGCGTTCCGGAGATCAATAAGACCACCAAACCGAGGTTCTTTCTGTCAAAAATATCCCCAAACCGCTCAAAATGACATTACGGATTCCTGTAATACTCTCGTTCGTTATCTTAGTATTCATCATAATCGCGGACACTACAAAGCTCCCCAGAGAAGCTCATCACGAAAACGATCTGTCTCTATTCCTGTGGAGATAAATGACGCTGATTGATTTCAGTATAACAACACCTTTACTATATCTTATTGAAGTTGTAGGAAACTTCGAAATTCCGCCCCCCCCCCCAAATTTCTCATGATGACAAACCATTCAGGAAACTTTCACGCCGACACGTTAACGGAAACCCTAGCTAGTGGAGATAGCCCTAGTTATATACCACTGATGCGGTGGCGAAAATTTAATGTCTTGTTTACAACGACACAGAAGTAAGCGTACTCCCCTCACGAGCACTAATGACCGTCTACAACATCTGGTCTTTAAACTACAGGCAACAAACGGAAACCTGAACGCTAAATATGCCAACATATATGTTTGTCTCAACGTGGGTTTGTGCGAACTCATTTGCCGGATTTTCGATATGGCAGATTTTTCCTTATCAATCACTGGTTTAGACCCTCCACAACACCATAATCTACTCATCATCCGAAGCAAATGTTGGTTAGTAGACGGAATTACTAAATTATCTGTGAGCGGAACTTCACTTCTTAATTGTAGGTTATGTCCAATTACGGTTAAGCATATAATCGGTTCATACTTCCAACAGATACCCGACAAATACTCTAAAATTTACCGAACTCAGCTGAAACTACCACCTGTAGCCAGCGATATTCCTACCACATCAGGAATACATGACCAGCTTACTGACTACTTCCCGAAGAGCTAGGGTTGGCCAAAAATGAATTCGAGCACATAACAGACTTTGGATTTATCTGACCGTCAAACAGTCCATAGGTACTTCTTCCCAAACATCCGCGACCTGACAGCAACCTTGAAATGTATAACTATCTTCAGAAAACCTGACTCAGTCAAAGCGTACGATCAAATTCCTTAGACTACAAAAGACATTCCTAAAACGTCTATCATCATGCTTTTTGGTTTCTACGAAATATTTCGCATTCCTTTTGACTTAAGAAATGCTGCACAAATATTTCACAAATTTCTCGGTTACGACTTCGCACGCATGTATGCTGATGACTGCTTGACCGCACATCAGCATCGAGATTCCTATCCACGACATCTGGACCTTGTTTTCGGACGCCCGCAATATCATGACTATCGATGACTGAATGAGCAAACCATTAGTGGTCGTTACTCCTTGCCTCACATTCACCATTTGATAGTTACCTTGAAAGGTGCAAATGCTTTTTCGAAAATCGACTTGGTTAAATCATACAACCGAATTCCTATGGCTTCTGACGACATTTCTAAAACCACTGTTATCAAAACTTTTAGTCTCGACGAATTTTGGCGCATGTATTTCAGTCTAAGAAATGCTGCAGAAATTCATCGATGACGTTCCTCGAGGTCACAACTTCGTTCACGCGTATGCTGAGTAGTGTTTCATTGCAAGTCTGGACAAAGGATCGCATCTCCAACATCTGGATCTGGTCTTTGAATGACTACAAAAGCATGGCATTGCGGTAAACATTCAGAAATGCCAAATCGACACCGACCCGAGATTTTCTTGAACACACTATTGGTACTTAAGACATCCGCCCCCCTGATAAGCAAATTTGCGGCCATTCTGGACTATCCAGAAGCTGCCACAATCAGGTAACTACGCATGATTAACGGCTTAGCAAATTTCTACAGACGGTTCATTCCAAATTGTGCGTCTCTCATGAGACTCTTAAGAGACCGACTTCGTGGAAATGCGAAACTCGTTATTTTGGACGACGACTCGATAAAGGGATTTTCTACAGTGAAGGAAATCGTCACAAAAGCGACTATGCTCGCACACCACGACATAAAAGCACCCATTAGTATCGCAGTAGACGCATCTGTTTCGGCAATCAGAGGAGTCTTACAACAATGGGTTAACCATACCTGACAACCTTTGCATACTTCTCAAGACGCTTGCAATACATTGAGTTCAGGTATAGAACTTTCGGTAGTGAAAACCTAGCCATGTATTGTGCTGTACGGCACTTACAACACTCTGCGGAAGGCCGAGAATCCACTCCGTTTACCAATCATAAACCTATTACCTTCTCTTTAAGCTTAACGTCAAACAAGCACTCCCATCGAGTCTTGACAGTAAAATTATGTTTCACAGTTTACTTAAGATCTGCACCACATTTCTGGGGCAAACACATGTAGTTGCCGAGACTTACCTTGTATAACTCCCTCGAACATTTTGAAGAAACCTACTTTTTCTAAACTCGCTCATCTTCCGAAAGAAGACACTGACCTTCGACAACCCTGAAACTACAGATCGAACAGATGGGAACAGGTAAGGAAACTTTACTGCGTGACACATCTACAGGGAAGGAACATCTGAACGTAGCGAAACATGAACAATGAAACGCTTTCAATACGTTGCAAAAGCTTTCTCATCCAGGTGCTCGAACAACCTTTAAGCTCATATTTACTTACTTACTTACGTACACCTGTTACTCCTCGTGAAGGAGTATAGGCCGCTCACCAGCACTCGCCATCCAACACTGTCCTGGGAAATCCTTTCCAGCTCCTTCCAGTTGTTATTCATCCTTTTCATATCTGCTTCTATCATCCGACGTAATGTGTTCTTAGGCCTTCCTCTTTTCCGCTTCCCTTCAGGACTCCAAGCTAGGGCTTGTCTCGTGACGCAGTTTGATGATTTGCGTAATGTATGTCCTATCCATTTCCGTCGTCTTTTTCTAATTTCTTCTTCAGCTGGAAGCTGGTTTGTTCTCTCCCACAAAAGGCTGTTGCTGATGGTGTCCGGCCAATGGATGTTGAGTATCTTGCGAAGACAGCTATTTATAAATACTTGTACCTTCTTGATGGTGGTTGTTGTGGTTCTCCAAGTTTCAGCTCCGTACAGTAGAACTGACTGTCTTGACGTTCGTATTGAAGATTCTCACTTCGATATTGGTTGAGAGTTGTTTTGAGTTCCATATGTTCCTCAATTGTAGGAATGCGGCCATTGCTTTGCCAATCCTCTCCTTTACGTCTGCATCTGAACCTCCTTGTTCATCGATGATGCCTCTGTAGTTTTCACATTTGCTCAGATCTCCTTTCTTTGGAATCTTGACGAGGTGTCCTTTTTTCCAGTTCATCGGCACTTGTTCCTCCTCCAAAATCTTTTTGAATAGAAGGTGAAGCATGTTTTTAGTTACTTCGATTTCTGACTTCAGTGCTTCAGCTGGTATGCTGTCTTGTCCTGCCGCTTTTCCGTTCTTGATTTGTCTGATGGTCATTCTGATTTCTTCCGTCGTTGGTGGATTGTCAACTATAG